ACAATATATTATCACTGCATTCATTACTAAATGATCAAGTATGTGTTGCGTTCATAATTAAGGCGGCTCGAAACTTTGAAGATCGTAACACATCGTTATGTAAAAATACATAGATATTAGGGTGTGTTGATATATATTTAATATGAATGAATTAGCATACAATTACCTCTAAGGCTCATAAGTTTCACAAAAAACATATTACACGTGTTTACAATTTGCATACATTTGTTGACAGCAAATTATTACTACAAAAGAATTTTCAATTCAATATAAAAGTGGATAAAATTTATTAATATAACTGCTTAAATATAAAATAATATGTTCATTGGATTGATATTGATAAGAATTAATGTACCAACGTTTTATGTATTTTAGAAGGTAAAGCGAAATTATCATATTTGCATAATAGTTATGTAAATAACTGTATCTTCAATTCCTCTTTTCTTTTCTGCTGCCTTCTAGATTTGTCAGCAGTTTTTTTCCAAGGAATGTGAATAGACAAAGTTCTTTTCTATTGCTGTTTTTGCTGTTCTAAACTACCTTCAAGTTAAGTGAGCCTTTCAATATATCAAGCTTCTGAAGAATGATGTTAATATTACTAGTTCTAAAGGATATAGAAAAATGCATTCATATTAAGTTCTAAAGAATCTGAAATAGTAATTACTTCAATATTAAAAAGTGTTTACTAGTGGGCCCTAAACATTCAATGGCAGACTAATTTGTGTATTATTGCAATTAAAAAAGGTTCTGAAACATAAATATTGAAGGATTCTCTACTTGTCAGATAATTAAAAGCACAATGTAATTTAAAACAAGAAAAAACGTTAACTTCGCCTGCCCCGCAGCTCTATGGTATTGTATTGTAATACCCTTCACAAATGAATTTCTTAAATTGTGTCCAACGTTTCCCCTTCGGCGTTACAAACTTCGTAGCGAACTTAAAATACACTCTTCAGGAAATAAATATTAGAAATAATATAGGAAAAGTCCTAATAAGCAAAGGTGTGAGAATAAACAATAATTTAATAAAAGTAACAGGTTAGTTTTTTAAGGTCGAGATGAAAAAAGCGCACTTGTGAAAAAATCACTATAAATTCGGATAGGAAGTCGACTGATCTCTAAACTAGTGAAAAACTCACTATAATTTCGGGTAGGAAGTTAACTAATCGCTAGATTTCCTCTAAGCATACATTGGATTGAGGTATTAAGGTAAATCCATAGTCTAGTACTCTGACAGATCAGTATCATAACTGCGAAACTTTTCACTTTTTCTAGGATATATTTAAGTTGATACATCCACTTCACTGAACACTGTGTACTATTAAATATATTTCTAAGCTACAATACTACAGTAAAACTTCCTCACCCTGTGCAAAGTTTACCAAGAAGCCTCTCCAACTCTTGATATGTTTCCAATAATTTTTTTTATTTTTTAACAATAAATCTTCACTGCAAACACATAAACGTCTTCTCTAATGGCAATTTTATATCTTTCAACCGATCTACAATGTGCGCCACCTTTCCACCGGACAGACACTTTTCTCCGAAATCAAAACAATCAACACTTTGAAGCGATTTTTATGACATCCGCACTTTTGTTTATTTTGATTGGTCCTTCACCTTGAACACCTACATACACATGGAGGCAACGCGATCACACGTTAAGAATACACTAAAAACTAATTCCTTTTCGATTTACACGTAATCGTACTCGTACTCGTAGTAAGCGTAAAAATAAACCGTTGCGGTCAACGTATCAACGTAGACTGGTTGAGCTGAAGATCGCTAAGAGGCAACAAAGTTCTTAATTCTGTTGCCGCACGATCAGCAGCCAACCAAGTAAGCGCAAAGAGAAGTTAGCCAGGCCAATAAGCATGCTCTTGCCCACGCTAAACATACATACAAACATGCATGTGTATGCTTGGGGGTATGTGCTCGGCATCGTTCGCAACGTCGCATCGTTGGTAATTTAAATCGAGCGAAACGTATCGCTGCTTCGTTGTTGTTGCTGTAAGTGGCGGCAAGCAACACGATCACCTCTAAAGCAGTGGAAGCGGCAGCAACAGCAATACAAAACCAGCGGAAAGTGAGTTGCTGCTAGTAATACTCGTGGTATGACGCCCACGTAGAAGTGTTTTGCTGCTTACGATTGCTTACGATTTTGTTGCATGCTGTATTAGATGGCAGTACAAATGGCATGGACTTCGAAATATTTATGATATGTTTGCATCACTTTCAAGCGCCACTATTCACGTTTGTTTGTTTTTGTTTTAAAATACTAGCTTAGATTCGTACCAAATTATTTCGCTTTCTATTAGACTGATAATGGAGCATGGAAGTCATTCACTTACCGTATATTTACAGTTTCTAGGAATGTTACAGAATTCACACTACTTCCAGGTATACATATATATATATGTATATCCGACTGCCATGCAACAGACAAGTTTGTTAGAAAATCGTTTAATCTTACTGTTCACCAGTTTGCTCACTGAAAGAATATCATATAAGGTTCTTAGTTTCCATCTTCTTTTTTTTTAATTCAAACCATTCAATTCCGTTCTAATATGTATATCAACGAAGATCTCTTGCATCCACAATGCTACCATCCGGTTTCTAAATTAATTAATTCTGCAAAAGTTCCCAACTCCTTAAACACTTATTAATGGTTTTGTACTTATTAATAGTTTCTCATCATGTCAGCGCCTAATCCAATTTTCCATCAACTTGCTATACGCCTCGATTCAGTAATAGGGTGGATGGACGACTCGCGTGAGGCAAGCTTGCGATGAGTTCACGACCTTCACTGCTATGTGCTACTCAAATGCTTGTGTTCTTGATAAAGTGGACTCCCGAAAACAGCCGTGTCGGTCTATAGCCGTGATTCCATTGGAAACGCAAAATTTCAAGAAAACACGTTGCTAAATTTATCTTCCATGGTAAAAATCACCAGACAAACTTTTCGCGTCCTTCGAACACACGCACTAATTAACATAAAATATATTAATCAACTATAAAAATATTGTACCAATCCAGGGAAAAAACTTGATTGATTCGTTTTGCGCGAGCAGTTTAAATGGTCAGTCCGAGTCAAAATTGATAAAATGAATTGTATGTCTAAAATATTGGAGTTTTTGAATCCACTACGCTACTAGAATATATAAATCGCTTCCAAAATAAGTGTATAATAAATGTGTGCATGATCTTTTTATATAAAGTAACCTTATTACGTTACCTACTTAGCGACATACTTTAAATTACTTTCCTGAAGCAATGTCTTGATTTTCAGTGTAGATTATTCTGAATTATTTCCTTTATGCTTCTCCATGTTTCGATTACCAGTTTTGAAAATCATTGATCGCATTTTCAGAATAATTTTTCATCAAACTCAGTCTTTATTAAGTAGTAGTGACGTTAGTCTACAAAATCTGTACTTTAGTTACAAATGAACTAATAACACCGTACTGAATATAATGAAGGCAAGCATGTGTCTCTCACTATAAAAGGGTTAGGTTAGATTATTCTTGTAAGCCAATGAGCCAAGCACACATAGGCCAGGTTTGGTCCTTTTCGATACCAGGTGGAGTATATGGGCGAATTTCAACAGATTTTGTGGCCTCACGGTGGTATCGTTACCTTTTCTAGTGTCTCATTCCGTGGAGCCCACAAATACTTAAAGCTTAGCCCTGCCAATGTGGCAAAAGTTCAAATTGCTCCATTGTTTCCCTGGTGCCTTGCTCGTTATATTTCTTGCAGTCTTCTCGATCTATCAACCCCATTCTGCAGGCGTGTACTGCCACCAGACTGTGACCAGTGAGTATTCCAATCATGTTCCTACAGTTCCTACTATCGAGTGCCAGTAGGAACATTGTATATTTCCGATCTACTGTTTTACACATGACTTTTGCAGTTTTGCAACTAGGTAAATCATTCCATCACGTTTTTATTTTTCATGTCGTGTCGCTATTCAGATCGTCGTATAAGCGATGCATGGGTATTTTGGTATGATTGATCAACGTTGGAATTAGATCTTGTCTAAAGAAATCTTTTCCAAAAAAGTAAATTTGTTTACATTTTACTAAATTTTGTTGAATTTATTTCTGAAAAGGAGTTCTGATGGATTTTTGCCTGAAAATAAGTACACCCCATTGTATCTGTTAAGTTATGTTTGAAGATAAGGTAAGATCAGAAGCGAAGCGATCTTGGCAGATAATTTTATAACCGTGAATTATGCAGGATTTTGGAGATTTCTAAAACTCATTTTTTCTTGAATAATAAACACTTTTTTGCTGTTGTATCTTCTAAACCAAGCGCTACAAAGTGATCTCCCATTGCGTAACAAAATGCTAATTTTAAAAATTAAAAAAAATAAAAATTACCATATGAGACCAGTGCAGAAGGCTTTGAAAATTATAAAAAGTTCATAGTAGGATGGAACCTATTGAAAACGACAGAAAAAGTAACAAAAATGAAGGAAAAAATAATTTTAAAAATTTTTCTTCACGAAATTTGGTGTAAACTTAACTTATTAAGGAGAAAACCTTATATCGATTTATAATAAAAAAAAACCTAATTTTCTATCAAAAATTCTCACGTCAAAATATCAGATTTTTTAAAAAAGTCAGCAAGCTTTAGGTGTTTTGAAATCACTACCCTCTGATGGTATAAAAAATATATCTGCTAAATTTTTTTATAAAATGCAGAAAAATACCCCACTTAGAAATCCAGAAAAATAAGATTCGCTTTTGATTTCACAATTTATCTCTGTGGCAAGGGATAGTTTGAAGGCCTTTAAAAATTTCATATATGATAACATTGTGTCATGTAAATACCTAACTAGTTACATGCTAACAACATACTTTATTCGTAATTATATGTGCATACATATGTACCAGTTAAATGCCCTCAGGATGTATGCAGTTAACTAAAAGAAAAATCATAAACTTCATTTCAATTTGATTGTAAATAACTTAATTATATTATTATTTTTTTTTTAAATATTTTTTCCAAAATTTATTATGAATAAATTAAATTAAGTTCAAGCTTAAACTAGTACAAACGCCAGCAAAACAGCTACTACTACAAAAACACATGCAAACATACTTCTTAACACTACATAATTAGCATAATTCAATAGGCATCTTCAGCATATCCAACCATATTGGATAGGTGTGTATATAATTTACTTAACCCACAACTAACATAGCATACAATATAATTAAGTTTGAGCAAAAGTATATAATTAGCGGTCAATATAAAAGAGACCCTCCGCAACATATGCAGATGGATACCCACTTGTACATACATACTTGTATGCTACATATGTCATTTAACGGGCGACAGAAAGCTTCGAATAAAAATACCTTATTTTCTTTATATTGAAGGTACAAAATAACTTAATTGCATGCACACATATACATATATGTGCATACATACATATTTATGTATTGTATTTATGAAGATATGTGCAAGTAAAAATTTCCCCATTTTTTTCGTGGATTTAGCCAACCGTACGACGATTCTCATTAATATCACTTAAAAATTAAATTCGTTCAGAGTTCAATGCGACTTTGGCGCATGCGCCAATTCAATTGAGTCACTGTAAATAAAATTTTATTGAGAAATAATTATTTTTTAAAATTTACTATAATATTGAACCAAAATACCTTATTATAATCTTTGGTGGTTTCTCTTTTTCTATATCTTCTGCGATTTTCGATATGGTGTATATATCATTTGAGAGTGTGGTGCTTTGTGTCACATTGCTGGTATCACCAGAACTGCCATTGATCACCGCTGGTAATGTGACAACGGTATGTGCACTGCCGTTACGTTCTTTCATAGCCATACGGCCGCCACTGGAGAGCGATGTGTGCCGATTATGAACAGACTGCAGCGATTTTAAGAAAAAAAATTAATTATAATTAAATTTTATAAAAAACAAAAACAAGAAAAAAATTAATTTTGGTTGCACCGAAGCTATAACACCCTTCACAACTACAAAGATTCCTCACAAGAAAGTGTGTATGGGAACTATATGCTATAGTAATCCGATCTAAACAATTTCTTCGAAGATTGCGCCATCGCCCTAAACAATAACCCTTGCAAAATTTCGTGAATATATCTCCTTAAATGAAAAAGTTTTTCATACACGTACTTGATTCCGATCGTTCAGTTTGTATGGTAGCTATATGCCATAGTGATTGGATCTGAATAATTTCTTCGGAAATGGCACCATTGCCGTAAATAATCGTCCATGCCAAATTTCTTGAAGATATCTCGTCAAATGAAAAAGCTTTCCATACAAGCATTTTATTCCGAACGGTCAGTTTGTAAGGCAGCTATATGCTATAGCGCTCCGACAAATGAGCAGCTTCTTGGTAAGCAAAGTTTCAGATCGATATCCTACAAACTGAGGGACTAGTTCGCATATATAGAGGCAGACGGACAGACTTAAATAAATCGGCTCAAGTCGTCACGCTGATAATTTTATGTATACTTTGTAGAGTCTCTGAAGTTTCCTTTTGGGTGTTACAAACATCGCGACAAATTTAATATACCCTGTTCAGGGTATAAAAAGGCAAATTTCGTAAAGATATCTCGTCAAATATAAAAATGAGCCAAACAAGGACTTGAGTTTGAAGGATCAGTTTGTATGTCAGCTTTATCCTATAGTGGTCCGATATCACTCCGACAAATGAGCTGCTTCTAGAAGAGAAAAGATTATATGCTAAATTTAAGATCGGTATCTCAAAAACTGAGAGACTAGTTCGCGTATATCGCGGGCGGACAGACAGGCGGACATGGCTAAATCAACTCAGATTATCATGCTGATCATTTATGTATATATTTTATAGGGTCTCCGACGTTTCCTTCTGGGTGTTACAAACTTCGCTACAAACTTAATATATCCTCTTTAGAGTATAAATATCTTTAAAAACTACACCCACCGTATTATTATGCGTTTTGCCTCGTATATTGAAGACGCCATAGACCAACGGATTCATACACGAGTTCGTGCATGCGAATATGAAGAGTATTTTACGTAACAGCGGATTCACATTATTTGCAGAAGTTTTATCAAGCCAAAACCACAAACACATAATATAATATGGCGTCCAGCAGATCACAAACACGATCACAATTGTTATAGTCATTTTTAGCGTACGCTTTTTAGCGCGTCCCAACACATCATCGTTGGAACGTCGGAAACGGGCGAAACCTGCAAGCAAGAAATTACGCAATTATCATCTGTATTCAAGCGCTAGTTATCGGTATGCTAGATGCTTAACCATTTTTGTCATCACCCTTAACCATGCGCTTACTCTTGCGATAGATCTCCAAATAGATTCGGCCATAGCAATAGATGAATGTTACCAATGGGAAGGCGTACATGGCGCACATATTCAAGATCTGATAGATTAGTTTGTGTAGTTCAGTGGGGAAGGAATGGAATGTAACGCACTGGTAGTAGCCTTTTACTTTCGGATGCTGCTCCAGATGGAATACAAATGCCTGTTGAGGAAAAGAGAAATTGTTTGTTTAAATAAATATTGTATGATACTCCAAGATTTGGTGTGGTTTATTAAGCTAAGGTAGTATCAACAGGGTGAAACTAAAATGTGGTTTAAAATGTGATCTCACCGCGTTTATTCTATTAAACTAAAATGTAATCTCATCCCAATGATCTCACAACTATTGTACGTTTATTTTAAAGATATGATTTACGATCCCTGGTTGGAATATGGCTTTGAGTTTCGCTTATTTGACTTAATTATTTCACCAGCATTTGGGATATTAGAAGTTTAAAATCGGGTTACAGCGAAATCCAAATTTATTAAAATTATCTAAGCGGCATTATGCACAGACCAAAAAGCTTCTGCTTTTAGGTAAGAGAACGAAGTAACGTTGCAGACGTCATCAAGCATCTACCTGTAAGATCCCATCTTGAGAAACTTGGTAAAGTAGAATCGGCAGAATACAGAGCATACACGATGGATGATGAGACGTTATCACTGCGAATGCCCAGCCTTCTGTTGGTTGATACGGGATGTCTTCCACGGCGCCCAATGTACCAACATAAAATATACCATATATGAAAACAATCAGACATTTTGTTAAATCTACTTAGTTCCTAAACTTGGCCTTATTGGTTACCAATTGGGAACATAATGGGACATATGATGGTTTAAGTACGGCCGTTTTCATTCAGGCGGTATCAAGAATTTTTAGCTTAAGACTTGCCAGATTTTTCAATTGTAGGACATTCTTAAATAATACAATAATGATTTCAAGAAGGAATAAGCTAAGCAACCATCTATAAATATATATTGAGTTGGGTAGTAGTAGTTTTTTAAGAGTGTCTTTCAAGAGTTACCACAGAAGGTGTTCATAACTAATATCACAGAATCGTAAAAAAATAGGCAATTTCAAAAATTTTATATGACCTGTCAAACGTGATTTGCACCTTTTAAAAGTGGTGATTTTGTCTTAGAAGACGCAGAACGTCCTGAGCGGACGAAGACTGTTTGAAGAAGACAAACTAGAAACATTACTCCATTGAGAGCTGGAGCTGGAGGGCGGCCACATGTTGCCTGTTAAAAAATATTTGGAAAAGCGAGGCTCGGAAATTTTGGCTGACCCGCCTTATAGCATAGACCTTTCCTTCTGACTACCATTTTTTCCAGTCAAATGCGGAACGCGCTCAGTGAAATACGGTTTTCATCAAAACAGAGTGTTAAAAATTATCTTGAAAGTATTGGTGCAGTTATTTTGGAATGGATTCCATGAATTGCCATAAAGATGAGAAAATGTTACAGCTTCAGTTGCGCAATACTTTGAATAACACAATAGTATATGTGAAGCATATGTTATAATTTAAAAAAAAAACCGCAGAAAGATATGTAATTATAGATCCTAAAGTTCTAATCAGCTGATTTACTTGAAATTTGGTATACGTTTTCTTTTTATATTTCTTTAGGGCGGGAAGTTATAAAAAGTCAAAATTTGTAATTTGTTGTAGTTTTAGAAAAATTGGAAAAATTAAAATAAAAAGCGAAATTTTCTACGAGTTTTTGATTTTTTTTTTTTGTTTCTAAGCTTCCCGCCTTAAGGACTTTTGTATCACTTTAGAATCTACCTTTATTTTTAATAGATTAATTGTTTTTTTTTCATTTTTGAAATTTTTAAAATTTATTAATAAATAACTAATAAAAAATATAGAAAAAATTTTATTTTTTTTTCGAGAACAAAAAATTACTGAGACCTCTTGATTACAATACCACCTAAACATTAAAAATAAAATACGCAAAGAATATTTAAAGAATCATGTTCCCTTAACAGAACTATTACTTGGAACTGTACCAATAGTACCAAACTAATATGTGGATAAAGAAGGAAAAAATGTTCTTCTATAAATAAGATACTTCTAAAGAGGTTATACAAGTATATAATATAAAATATTCTTTGTTTATAAATTATGCATGGAACTTTGATTATATTAATTAAGAACTCATTTTCGATTAAGGAGAGTTCGTCATAAATAATAATAGTTGTTACTTATCTTACTTTTATTAATTTCATAATAATACTACCTCACCTGCGGTGTACTGCAGATTACCGATGCAATCCATGCAATTGCTAGCATAATACGACCGCGATTTGTTGAGAATTTCAACGGTTTCAAAATGGCATAATATCTGCAATGAAATAAAATCTCATTGAGCTAATGCCTAAAAATTAATTACAATAGAAAATCACAGCAAATAGCGTTGTATAAACTCACCGATCTATCGATATGCTGACTAGCACAAAACTTGACAAATACAGGCCGAACACGCGGAAAAAGCTCATTGTGCGACAGACGAAATCGGTGGAACGCCATTGCACCGTATACGCCCACGCTATCTCCAACGGCATTAGTAGAAAAGTCACCATCAAATCAGCAATAGCCTTTGACATCGGTCGGCAAACAGCGATGCGTTGCGGTGCATTGCAAGCGGGGTAGTCAAAGTAGACAGTAGATCAAGCAGTCAGTCAGTTAGTGAGAACAGTGAAGCAAGCGTGTAGTGATAAGAAAGTACAAAGTATAGTTAGTGCTACTGACGAGATAATGGGCAAGTGGCCGAAAAATGCCGGATATAAAAATATATGAGTATATTTAGAAATATTTTTATATATATACCGACAAATTTGTATACATAATATATATGTATATCATCTAATCGAAGTTGACACAGACTGACAGATTGAAAAAATTAACATTTTCACGTATTTTAATACAAATCTTTATTATCGCTTTTTAAATTAGCTCATTTTAAGCCAAACCAACGACTAATCTAATTTTCCTTCAGTGACTTCAACGAATGACGTTTATTTAATGGCTTGAATGAACTCGTGGCACGCTCCCCGAACCGGATTTTTCAATTTCGAAAACAGAAAAAAGTTACAAGGAACCTTATCTGTCGAATACAGTGGCTTAGCAATGACTGTCGTTTTGTATTTGGCCAAAAAGTCAATCACAATTATGCTAGAATGTGAAGGCGCTTTATTGTGATGAAAGATCCATGACTTTTTTTGCCCACAAATCCGTTCGTGTATGACGAATTGTTTCAATTAGACGCTTCAAAATGACCAAGTAGTATTCCATATTGACCAATGAGCATCACATTGATTTTTGACCGACTTCGATGTAAGTTTCAGCTCATTTTTGAAGCGACATTCGCTAGATTTTTGATTACTATCACGTCGGCGATGTTTTTTCAAGTCAAGAGTCAGACCTTTGTTACGAATCTAACATCGAAACGCTTCATACACATTAACCAAAATATGTTGAGTCAACCCATAAGAGTTGTTGAGATCATCTGCTAACTCGCTGATGCCAACACGACGATTTTCAAGTTCTGCTTTTTTTACTTTTTCAATGTTATCGTCATTGACACAGGTCGACTCGCATGAGGCAAGTTTTCGATAACTTCGCGAGCTTCAGTAAGTTTTTTGTGCCACTTAAATACTTGTGTTCGCGATTTGGACTCTCTAAATCACATCTGCAACGTTTTCAGCGATGCCGTAGCCATAATTGCATTGGAAATGTTTGAAAATTAAACTTCACGTAAAAATAAAAAAAGAGTAGTACCAAAAAGTCAAAAACTAATTTTATCGTACGCAGTTTCAATGAACCTGTCCGAGTCAAATTTGATCAGATGGTATATGTTATATTGCTAATAATTTGTATTATATACCTGTTCATATAGAAATGTTTACAAATGTTTTTTTTTTATTTACCAAATGCATCAACATAATATCAATGCGGGACGGACTGCGCGTACGATTGTGCCAGCGTCGCTTCACGATTAAATACAACACTGTGGAATTGCCGATCGACGAGAGCACAAGTAGGATGCTGCACAAATGTAATAAAAATACTAACAGTAATAACAACAACAACTACAGCAATACGGTTGATAAATCAGCGCTCACCTGTAAACTGTTATGGAGAGGCGATGCCCATCATTGAAGATCATATCCTTCGAGTAGTGCATTGTGCCATTTGTTTCGTTGACCACATTCGACCAATCCGGCATGATGCGATGATCGTAAATCTTTTCATTAACCTCATCTTCAGTTTGCGGCATTTTCATGGCACAAAAATTTGTCTGCTCGATTAATTTGCGAATATTTGCTAGATTTGTTTATATGTATGTATTTATGCGACTGCTGTGCGAATCGCGTATGTTTGTAAATTGGTGTTGTTGTATATATTATATATATGTATGTATGTCTGTAGTTGCTGGAATGTATTATAACCGCTACCCTGCAAATATATGTATATTTATATATAAATAAGCACCAGACTGCTGCCATTTAATATTTATAAATTTAATCAAACGTAAAAATAAACACACACACACATACATATGCATGTAATTTCTAATATACGAGTTCACAATGCATGCTCGTAGTTCATAGGCCTTTGGGTAGGTGTGCGTTTTCGTTAGAAATTATTAAATTGAAAAAGATATACAAATACATGCACATACACTATGTTTTTCTTGTTGTATAATAGTATTTTACTTAATTTACGTTTATATCTTTAAAGTTGCATGCTTTTGATTTGTTATACCGCGTAATAGGTTATACTATATGTTAACTATTCACAAATTTATTTCCATTGAATTTATTTTAAATCGTATTTTTGGATTAAAATAAAAATAAAACCACCTAGATGTTTTAAACATCTGTTTAGATATATTTTTAACAATTGTTTATTGAAATCTAACTTCGACGCAACGAAATTTTGGAATTCCTGTAAGTGACCTGTGCGAAAAAATAATTTTTGGCAATATTTTTAGTAAATAAATTAATTAGAAAGTTGAAAAAAATAATAATAAATAAAAAATACTTTATTGAAAAATCAATTTTTAGTTCAAAATTAAAAAAAATAATTTTAATTATAATGTATAATGTTTTTTACCAAAAACTTTTATCTTTAAAAATTCAAATAAAATTTTTTAAAATTATATTATTTAATTAAAAAATATATGTTTAAAATACATTAAAGTGAAACATCGACCTTTTTAATAAAAAAAAAATATATAATATATATTATAATATTTAAAATTTTTTTAACAATTTTTTTTTTTTTTAAATACAATATATTAACAAAGCTATTTAATTAAGAAAAAGTATATTTTAAATACTTTGTACGAAAACATCGACCTTTTTAATTAAAATCTTGTTTAAAATTAAATAAAAAAGTTTAAAATATTTTAATATTTTTTAAGAAAACAATTTTGTTAAAAAATTCAAATTTTTTAATAAAATTATTAAATTAAAAATATATATTTGTCACATTATATGGCCAAATCGATTCTTTTACTTTTAAATAAAAAAAAAATTTCAAATATTTTAATATTTTTTAACAAAAAAGTTTTTCTTAAAAAGTCAAATTTATTAACAAAATAATGTAATCAAAAAAAAAATTATTAGTTACAATATACGGCAAATAGACTTTTTATGTAAAGTTCATAATGCGGACAGTAACAACAGTCTTCTCAAATTTACATAAAAAATCCAAAATACTTTATTGTATTTTTGGCAAAACTCAAAAACAATTTTTCCAAACTTAATTACTTACAAAAATATTAAATATATTATATTAATTAAAAACAAATTTTTAATATTTTAATACATACTATTTAACAGAAAACTTTTTCTTAAAAAGTCAAATACAATTTAATTAAAATTATTGAATTAAAAAAAGTATAATAATAATATTATACTTCAACATCGACTTTTTTATTTAAAATAAAAAAGTTTCAAATATTTCAATATTTTTTAACAAAATAAGTTTTTTCTAAAAAATTCAAAATCATTTTTTTTCAAATTATTTAATTTAGCAAAATTATTAATTACATTTTACGGCAAAACGGACTTTCTTACTTAAATTTTTTAGTAGAATTAAAAAATAAGTTAAATATTTTAATATTTTTTAACAGAGAAGTTTGTTTTTTTAATTCAAACCAATTCCTTCACAATTACTATATAAAGAAATTATATATAAATTACATTATTACTCATAATCGACCTTTTTAATTAAAATTAAAAAAGTATAAAGTCAAGCAGATGTTTGAAAATTCTTATATTAGGGAAAGATTTGCTCTACTATCACTAAAATACACTGTTATTAAAAAGAGATTCTTTCTGAATTTCATTAAGATTTCTTACATATTTACCGATAAATGCGATATAAAGTCAAACGACTTTCGAACTTCCGAAAATATTTAGTTATATTAGGTAAATTGTGGCTAAGGGAAGTATTGACCCGATTTTACCCATTTTTTGCACAAGGGCCTGCTATCATCATAAAAATATTCTCCCCTCTCTTTCAATACTAGACCTCACAAATTGAGCCACCCTTTGTCCCATCCATATTACGAACCTACGATTCACCGAATAGTTGACACTTATAAAAAGCTGCTGAGGTTATTCATAAGTTCTTTGCATATCTTAAGTATGGTATAATTTACAAAACTCATTTGGTAACCCTAAATACTAGCGCTACCTTAAAATTAATTTTTGCCGGCGAATTCCTAACACAACACCAATACAGAGGAGCAAATTAAATTTGGTGTGTGAAAAGAATGCTGTAAAATCAATATTTTGATTACAAATAAAAATTTCAATAATAATTCGAAAAGGAAACCTTGTAAACAAACACACAATATACAAACAATTAAAAATAGCTCCCGAACGGCGACTAAGTTATGTGCCTACGTATTATTTTATAAATATTGACTAGTTTATATAAATAAATTTGCAAATTTCGTATTTACTAATGGGCAATTTTTATTGAAATTGAATACTTTATAGTAGACAATGATCCAACACATGATTAATGGTGTTAGTTGTTATGTAAATGTTTGAATGTATAGGTGCCTAAAACACGGCATAAAAGTGCTTCTGCTGATAAGTAAAAACATAAAAGTAGTACATACCAGTAGTTTTTGAAAACAAAGTAATGCAAATACATCGTATTAAATAATTATAAATATTGAGTCGTTCATTGAGTAATTTCATTAATTTTATGCCATCTTTCGAACAAGAGCTTGATTCCACGCTCATAAAATGTTTGATCCTTTGCAGGCAAAAACTTGGTTCAAGTGTTTTTTGACATCCTGATCTGAGGTGAAGATTCTCCCATTCAAAAAATTTTGCAGAGACCGGAAGTGTCCGAAGTTGTCAAGTCTGGAGTATATAGTGGGTATGGTAGCACATCCCATTAAAGCTGCAAAAGCTTTTGGCGAGTGTAAAATGGTGTTTTTAATCTTCCATCTTCCATTGTGCACCAAACAAAAACTATTCCAAAAAATTGAGGAAAATGTTTCACAAACAAGCCTTACTATATCAGCTGTTCAAATATATAACGGTAAATCCGTTAAGTGTGAAGTTGGCTGCGAAAAAATTCAATAAAATCAGCTGTTGTCATCAAACGAAAGTACTTAGTGAACGACCCAATAATAATGTTTCAAGATGTAAGCGTTTTTCTGGAGAATTTCGGTTTTAAATTAGGTTTCTATGTAAAGTTCATTATGCTGACAGTAACAATAAAAACTTTTCGAAAAAATGTGCTCTCAACTGATCTATTTGCTATTATGGAGACAGCAAATCCTTTTAACATTTCAGTAGGAAATTTTTAAGGTACTAGACTTTTTAGCTATTTTAGGAATGTAAATTTAATTAGTGTACAAGTGAATTCACCTTCTTTTCAGTGCATAGAACATATTTTATATTTCTGAAACTCTTCCAACTATCTTCAAAATCTTTGTAGCGGCAAATGTTTAAATATGTTAATTTACTAAATAATAGTTTGATAACTCAGTAAAATTACAATCTCCTAATGTGACCATCTAAAAAAGCACTACTGCACGAAATATTTAAAAAACGTTTGGACAGATGTAGGTAGCATATCTAAGGATAATTAAAGAATATACACAAAAAATTAAAAAAAAAAAACAAGTTAAATAATTTTTTGCGGCTTAATCGTTCTTTCCGCCACAGCTGCAGTAAAAGCAGCCTGCACATATTTACTATATAACTTTGGCAGCACCAAAGCCTAAATACTGACTATCAAAAATATATTTACTGTACAATTATGATTCAATTATACAAGGTTGTGTTACTAGAGAACGTGCTTCTTCTTATAATTTTTTTAAATCCATAATGTCAAATACTCTATTTTATGTTTTTCCCAATATTTTTTATTTATACTTTAATGACTTTGGATTCCTTCATATTCAGTTACTATTAAAAAAACACTTTTTTATTAGTTAGAATAGTTGAAAAAAAATAATTTGGGATGAAAAAGAAAGCCCAACAGCTGATTTTAACATTATGAGTTAAAAGACTATGAACAAATTGTTGTTGTTGAGCTATCGACACAAATATATATAATTCATACATGTAGACAATCAATATCACAACCGAAACAATACGAAATGCAAGTACACACAGCTGACCTTGGCCGAAACCGCGCAGCAACTGTCTAATTGACTGCGACCATTTAACGAGTTGACGGGGCGTATGAGTAACACACACAACTTTTACTCTAACACAGTGTGCTACAAATGTGTTGTTTTACACTGCTATCGCGTTTATGATATCCTGTAAGCCGTTTTTAGCTTACAAATCGTGCGTGTTTACCGTTTACCACACACCGCAGCACAGCTCTTGGCGTACACGAGTGCGCAACTAAATGAGTGACGGCATAAAGGCAAGCGATAGCCGATAGCGGCAACAACCTGCAGGCAACGCCGCGGTCAGCGTCAACACGCAAGACATTTGTAAATATATATATAACACTAGTAGCAGTAAACACCATTGCGATCAATTAACAATAATATGTAACAACAAATAGTGCTCTCGGCAGCGCTGAGTCAAAGCTTAAAAAGAGTCTTCGACTAAATATTTACGCTGGAAAACAACCGAATGATAATCTATGCCACCGCTGGCTACACTTGTTTACTGTTGTCATTTGTTGTTGTTGTTGCATTGCTTTTATTATGACTTTTGTGTTGAGTTCATCATGCCAAGAAACGCAAGTACATACATATACATGTGTGTGTGTGTGTAGCAGCTAATCAACGCATACTTGCCCATTGACTCCATTAGATTGGGAGCTGATTTTCAAACGAAATAGCATCCGCAAGCCACAGAACGCGGCACACACATACACACATATACATATGTATATGTTTGTGATGCTGTAGGAGCGTTGGCATGATTTGCTGCTGCTTGCTGATAAGCGCGCGCGCACCTCACTTGACCCCAACTAACACCCGCCCGCGCAATATAAAATTTAAAAAAAGCAAAAAAAATGGAAATAAAAAACGAAATAAAAATACAATTATAACAGCAAAAACAACAATCATAAATAGGAGCTGGTGGGCTTTGAGTGAATAAAGAAACAAATAAAAGCAACAAAAAAATGGCTATAAAATTGTTATTGTTAATTTTTTATATACACAAAAACACATACATATATGTATAGAAATATTGATGTTGTGTTTTTTTTTTTGATTACAGCGTGTTTGTCTTTATTTATTTATACAAAAATTGCTCAAAGTTCGATTTGGACTCACTGATTTGGTGAATGCTGGTACGGCTGGAAAGAATATACATATGTACATATGGTACATGCATACTACATACATATTGTATTTGCATACACGCACATACAAATGTTTTGTAAAATTATGGCACTAATCTAGTGAAAAATAAATAGGCTGATCATTACCAAAATGAAAAAATTAAAAATATTGAAAATTTAATCAAGAATTGTCGCTGCAGAAATATGTGAGTATCGACAAATACAAAAACAACACAAATATCAACATTTCAGCAATAAAATTATACTCGTGCCTGAAACAACAGAAGCTGTGGTATAATGCCAAATATTATCAGTAACGGTAAAGGCGTTCATTGTACCACTGGGCGTTGTACCTAGAAAGCAGTGGCACACTTCTGCCCTCATATATACTTATACATACATACATACAAATAAGTAAGTGTTCTGCAGAGTTTAGGTTTGAAACTATTCGATTTGCACACAAGTTGCTAGTGGATGTTAGCTAGAAATACCATATCTGTCTGTCAGTTGTCTTTATTAGGTGTTTGTTTAAGCAAATTAAGCTCAATAATATCTACTATTAAAAGACATATTTGAATCTCTTATGAATTGCGGGTTTAAAGATTCTCAAAGTGCAGGTATTCAATATTCGGCCACTATAAATTGTTTTCTTTGTATTTATGGAACTCGCCTATGGCAGCTAAGATCTCTTAGTTTTTGGTTTTTGCTATCGAGATTAACTTGCGCTTCATCCGAAAAAATGATTTATCTGAGGTATTGACTTCCGATTATATTTGGAGTTATATGAAGTTATAAAACTAAAAAAAATTACTTTTCCAACTGAACCTCACTGGGTTGAAAAATATAATAAACCTTCCCAGACACACATTTTGGCAACTTGTGGCACTTTATTCTGAGCATTGCTGGCTCTCTCTTGTGCAAACTTCCGGTTTTACGACATGAAGGCAGAAATTCCTAAGCTCCTGATTCTGCACTGCACTGTAGACGCAGGACCATGGCTCTTATATTTTTTTTATCCGAATAGAGATCTCATCGTCTCAATAGCGCCCAGCAGGATCCCGATATTTATCAGAGTACTCGGCCTTTGTGAAAGAGAACACAACAGACATTCGGTAGCTATTGTGCATATTCTAGAGCTAAAATCAAATTAACAATCTTTAAAATTTTACTATCAAATCCACCTTCACTAAACATTTCAAAATTAGATCCGTTTAAATAAAGCCACAATTTATTTCTAATCTAATCTAATCTATATTCTAACTAAATTTGATTTTATTATTAGTTCTAGTGGCTATCTTCCAAATTTTCGATACCATTTTTTTAGTAAAAGATATTTTGGTTTTAAAGAAAGTCTCTTATATGTATTATATATATACTTCTTAATTTCCACCGAGCTTTCTCTTGTGATCTGAGATCAGAAAAACGTCGCTAGTGGTCACATCTGCGGTAATTGCGAATGCAATTGAAAAATATTTTACCATAGTTTTCTTTGATTTTAGATACGCTGTAATGTCTTGATTATGAAGCCTCACGATATTTCCTTTCGAAAGAGCTTTATCTACTCAAATATTCTTGAACGATATATCTAAACTGGTCATGTAATAGCTTCCCAATCAACCTTGCTTTTTGGCAATTAAAAATTATTTAGATTTTTTTTATTTGTTACCCGTAACAGCCTCTTTTGTACATCCATCTTTCATCGTCTTTCATATGGTCCGTACAGAATTTAGCAAACCACTTGCTTATGGTTGCTTCACTTGGTGCAAAGCTCATATAACATCCATCAAACCACGTAATATTTTTTCAGCAGCAGAAATAGTTGCATTCCATTTTTTTTTTGAAGATACCAAACCTTGCGTTGACCGAAATACTACTAGGATTATATACGATTATATATGATTATTAAGACCAGCAAGTTTCCGGAAATTGTAAATGAAACGAATATGCTCCTTCTGAAGCGATTCACATATGGCACATCGATTTCCATTCCATCGAAACATGCCTTGTAGGTGCTGTTCGGGCTCGCCTCTGCGAATTTTCTTTTACGGCCTCAATCGAGTCGAAACGGATTCCACGGAGTGGTAACTTGAGTTTTGGAAACAAAAAAAGACGCATGGGGCCAAGTCCGATAAATACGGTGGTTGGTCGATGGTATTGAACGATTTTTTGGACTTAAAATCGTTCTTTATACTATGTAGCAACCATTAAGACCAGAAAGTTTCCAGAAATTTAGTTCCAGTGGAGACTGCTTATAGAAACAATATAAAATGTTCGGCGTGCCTGGTAGATTTCAGTCTAGTCCTTAAGTTCTATCAATAAGAACAAAAGTCAGGTGTCATGTGGTAATAGCAAACACGAGTAATATTCAAAATCGAAAGACTTTGATCCATTCCCAACCCGGTACTTATTATCAGAAAATTAGTTTTAATTTAGAAATTACAATGATTTTCTATTTTTACTATATCTCCTTTGTTTACTAAATATATGACAGATTAGTTGTCTATTAGAAACGATTTATGTTATCAGTGCACGTTTCGTTGGGATGTTCTTTACTGCGTCTTTGAATTTGAGGGTTATGCTAAGTTTTGCCCAAATCTTACTATTTTCTCTTTAAATCTTATGTTAAATTAGGCTTGTGTTGAAATTTGTGCATTTGAAAAATCGAAAACTGAGCAGTAACTCTGTTTTCAAACAGAATTCATCCTCGCATGACTGAAATTTATAATTTAACATTTTTCTATTTATTGTGATTGTAGCCCCTTTGGATGTCACAACTTTTTGTGAACCGGACGATTTGTCTCAAACCGGCTCAACAAATGTATTAAAAACCCAGTTATGTATCGATAAAGTGCCCTGAGACTTTATCAATACATATCTGGGTTTTTGATATCACAAATGATCTACTGTTCAAGTGAGTTTTCCGTGATCCTAACCTTATCTATCTAACAACTCAAGTCGTTTTCCATTTGGGATTTCGAAATGAGAACAGAGTTTGTCTAATTTACATAAACTAGTAATGAAATGTTTCTCATTTGAAGCATGAATGACACAATAAAGACTGTAAAAGCTTTGGTTTTTAACGCTGCTTTTTCACCTCGCTAGACTAAACCTGCTTTAGATAGGGTTTAGTTAGTGTCTAATTTATTAGGCCTTGCTTCTTAATTCTGATATAATCGTACTTTTATACCTTACAAGTTACATGCTTAATGATCTGCCCCTCCATTGGCTATCAAATACCGATTAAAAGACCAGAAAAAGCGAAAGTTGTCGTTTGGTTTTCACTTAGAATTTAACACTCAAAAAGTCACTGTTGAAATTTGGGAACTTCCATCAGAAGCTAACATTCAAAAATTCTTTGGGGAAACTTTGAAAGGTTTTAGAAATCTTTGAGTCAAGTGCGTAGATTATCACAAGGACCTAATGATCAGTCAGTATTGTAAATCGTGGTTCAAGAAAGAAGCATAAGCTGTGACAATATTGTGGTAACCCTGGAAGCATCCTAAAATACGGCAAGCAATGAAAATACTATCGTCCGTACTTTGTAGCCTCAAATTCGAAAATTCAAATGCAGTAGCATTTACTTACCTTTAATACAAATTATTTTTAATTAAATTTTTAGTATTTTTTTATACAACAAGCTTCTTTGAAGAATTTTTATGTGCAATTTTATTATTAACCGAAATACTTTAAATCGGTTTATTGTACTCGTACATATTTCTCTTTTATATTTTTATGTTTACATCACATTTTCATAACAAAACCAATGAACTCACTGGCCGGTCTTACGGCTGACACACATACACAAAAACACCTTATGAAACAAAATTTCGGCGCCCAAAGAAATTGCGTTTTGCAAACTTGCTAAGTGGCAACAACTTACATAACATAAACACGCGTAAGTCTGTCTCTTTAGATGAATTTATACACTCAAAAACAGCTATTTGTTATTGTTGTTGTTTTTTAACTGCCACGGCGCATATGAAATTAAGTTCTGTAGCGTTATTGCCGCCTCGTAAGGTCACGCCTTCGGCGGAACTACGACTACGTATCAGCAGACCGAGGTGCGAGTATATATGCACACATATACATACATACATTTGATAACAACGACGACGAACCGACAAGCGTTGCGCGCTTAAAGACGTTCCGGGTCCAAATGAAATGAAATTGCGAAATAATCAAATTCAAAAGTGGGACTAAAGTCGAAATGAAGCTGTCGCCGCGGTATCAATTCACTTTTGAAATGCGCACGCATACACATTTGCACGTGCTTATGCACATATAAAAGCTTGCCGGCGCTTGTGTGTGAGTTGTGGGTGTTTTTTCGCTTTTTTTTTTGCGGCAACAGGCCAACAGGATGTCAACAGTGAAGGCGTAAACGCCTCATGCGGCGCAAGCAATTGTCTTCAATTGAGGAAAATGCCAAGAAATATGTTCTTATTATGCGTGTAAGTTAGCTTTTAGGTTTTGCGGCTTTGTTTACTTTTTTTCTACACACACGCTGCCTTCACAGCAACAATGGTTGTCAGAGTAGCATACAAAAAAGGAGGCATACTTCGATGGCGCTTGGCAGATAAGTCTACAAAGCTGCGTATTTCTTGAAGTCATCTGCGACATTTACATTGTTTACATAAATACAAACTTTCACATATGTGATTACACATACAATTATATGTATATATATGTGTGATTCAGCTCATTTGGCACAGGTCACCGCAATACAATAGTTGTCTAATGAGCACCATTTGTTAATCGTTGAACACCTGTTCACTAGGTCATTCAATGACCAAGGATAAATAGTAATTGTCAGTGTTGATTTTTGACATGAATATTTGTATTTTTGTTTGTATGTATGTATATACCGAAATGTTGTTTTACACTCTCTACGCTTTAACTGCTGCAGTCCTGATATTTGTATGTTTGCTTTCATTTCTCATATTACGAGAGTGGCACAAGAAGATACGGAGAAGAAGCAATGATAAAGTTATCACCATAAACAAATTATTTTAATAGATTCTGATTTCATATTTTCAAAACTTAACCTTCAAGAACATGTACTTAAGAAGATTTGTTAAAATTTTAATTATTTTCGCAAATATGGCAATTTATTGTCACGACATCCAAGTTTGCTATGCTGATTAACTCTATGCGTAATTTAAGCCGAAACTTTAAACGCGTTCTTTCTACTTTTCAAAAAGTTTGTCATGATTTCGCAAGATCATTCTATTTAACTGATTTACTAATTTGTTGTTAGTCTTCTCTATATATGTATGTCTCTATCGTTCTCTCTAGCAAGCAAGTGCTAAGTTTGGGTGAAACCGAACATTTCATACTCTTGCAACTTGCAAGAATCAAAGCTGGCTAAACACCTTCAGGTGTTGGTAATATTAAAAAATGTAGCGAAAGGGTTCAACGTCATTATTCAATGCAATCGTGAATGGATTGCAATCAAATTTGTTATTATGAAGGTCGTAGCCTCTGTTGTATTACTATATTTACCCCTCGTCAGCGAAAATTATACTAAAATCATTGGGGGCTTAGAAATGGAAGGGCTGATTGTATTAATTTTTGTCATTGCTCAGGTATACTTTCGAACTTATTTTCAAGCAATTTTATAAATATAAACATATACATATATGGAGTAAAGTCAGTCGGACGTTTCAAAATCATGAATATCAGTTATATGTGGGCTAGGGCAAGTTTTCGCTCAATTTTATCCATTTTAGGCACAAATATACGCTGTCATTAGAAAAATACGCTTTCTCAATTTCATTAAAATAACTAGCATATTGACTGTGGTATAAAGTCGACTGGAAGTTCGAAAATCTTTATATTAGGTATATTGGGGCTAAGGGAAATATTGTTATAATTCAACCCATTTTTGACACAAGGGTATTTTATTATCGAAAAAACATTTTTCCTAATTTTAATTATATATTTCATAGGTTGACCGATATTTTCGGCAAAAAGTCAGTCACAGACTCTGGGGTGCACATTTTCGGTATCTGGCAGCTGGAATAGTTATGGTCCGATTTTGACAATTTTTAGACTTGAGATAGCATATCTTAAAGAAAATATTGCTGCAAATTTTTATCTCGATATATTAATTAGTGCTTGATTTGTATACTGAAAAGTGAAAAAATCATATTGAATTTAAAGTTGTCTTATATGGGAAGTAGGCATGGTTACTGTACAATTTCGCACTGAAATGTCAAAATAATCGTATGTACCAAGTTTGGTTGAAATTGGTGGAGTAAGTTCGGAGATACGTAATTTTACCCAAATGCTATTCGTTCGTTATTTATTTATCGCAGTTTTGGTAGTTTTTTATAAATGTGTTATATGGAGAGTGGGCGTGGTTATCATCCGATTTAACATATTTTCATGTTGGTGTCGAAATGTTATATACGGTGCAGATTTGGGTGATATAGCTTGAATAGTTTGAGTAGTTTATCCATCAAACCAATTAAGGCGAGTAGCAACGCCCACTTTTTAAAAATTTTCAAACCACAGCTGTCCCTCAATATTGCGATTGTACCAAATTACAGTTTTGTATCTTACTTAGCAATTAATATATTTCGATTAACGGCGTTTTGTGGACGTGATTCGATTACGACTATCGACGAACTCGTCTTCATTTTTTTGCCAAGGAACACGTGTACCAAGTTTCATTAGGGGGTATTCTGGTTTAGAAGTTTAAGAAAATCGATTTTTTTTCATGCATACAATTGTAGTATAAGCCTTTAAGAATATGTACCTAAAAAAGTTTATTGAAATTTCAATTATTTTTGGAGTTACAGTTATTACCATAAAAGTAAACGAACTAAGCCTATATGATCGGACAGCTTGAACAATGGCTATATTTTACAGAGATCCGATCTGAACAATTTATTCGAAGATTGTTGCTTGCCTTGACCTATGTCAAGTTTTGTGAAGATATTTTGTGAAATAAAATACAGTGACTTGTTTTTGATCGGTCAGTTTGTATGACAACTATATGCTATAGTAGTTCGATGTGAACAATTTACAAAGTGGTCATTAACCCCAAATATAAATAAAGGTTGTTGACTTGGTTAACTGTAAACAAAGCTTGTGAACTTGGCTAAATGTAAACAAAAGGGGCATTGACCTTATAAAAAATAAATAAAGGGGTCATTGACCTCGACAAAATATAAACAAAAATTGTCACAGACCCCATTATGTTAATGAGGGGGTCATTGATTGAATGTAAACAAAAGTTGTGGAAAATATATAATACAACTTTATTATTCAGATCGGGCCACTATAGCATATATGCAGCTACCTTACAAACTGGTCGATCAATATCAAGATAAAGAGCTATTTATACCCTTTTATGCTATAAGAAATGCTCCTGTGAAGGGTATTAGACCTTTAGTATAGCTGAAGCTAACGTTTTCCTAGTTTAATATAAAGTTTTGGTACACCTGGAAGTCTATCGCCTGGTTTGAATCTTGCAAGTTGCAAGAGCATAAAATGTTCGGTTACACCCGAACTTAGCCGTTCCTTACTTATTTTAGTTAATACCATACTAGATGACTTGAATTAGAGTACATAAATATATATGTATTTTTTAAATAAAATTTTTTAGACCTTCATGTACTTATCGCATATTAAATTTCGCATAATTTTTTCGTCCAAAACAAATTCTAAACTCTAGATACATGTGTATATACATTCATAGTAGCACGTTTACCTATATAATTATATCAATTTTTGTGTTTATGAACCTAAGCTAAGCATGTGAGCAGCTACATGGCAGTTGATTATGAGAGCGAGACATAGCAAGTATTTCGTGGTGACAAGATGGTCACTCGCTGATAAGCGCGTACAGTCAATAATAACATTTATATACTGGTATATGTGTATCTGTCTACATGCCTTGTAGGGCGTGAATTAATTTATTAATTATTTTTATACCTAGACATATTAAGTTTGCCACGAAGTTTGTAATACCCCGAAGGGAACGTTGGAGGCCTTGTAAAAAATATATATAAGTGTTTAATTTATTTTTTAGTTTTATATTTTTATATTTGTTTTTTAATTTTTTTTTTTTTGCTTTTTTTATATTAATACAAATGAAACATTTTATATCGATTTTTATTTTGACTTTATTTCATCTACCACCCATTCAACTTTCTTCCTGCTGGGCAGTTACTTGTTTTGGTATGAAATTACAATAAATATACATACATATGTACTTATTGTTGTTACTCCGTGCGAAAAACGCTGTGTGTTGTTGACAATCGCCTATTAGTTTTTGATAGCATACCAATGTTGAGCCATTGTTTGTTGTTGATTGACATTGAAAATTTGACGACAACAATGTGCAGTGATCACATACATATGTCCAAAACTACAACCATACGAGCATATCTCATGACCAATGTCACTTAGTAGCGGTCCTTTATGAAGTGTTTCGCACGCGCATTCAGATCAAGGATAAACCAGTCATTAGGCGCTAAAAATTTAAGAGCATGAATATAACTTAAATTCTGATATTGTTATATTTTTAAATTGCTGCAAAAAATATTTTTCAGTTCAATTAAATTACACCATTATTCAATTAAATTACACACTGTGCTTTATTACCACGATTGTGGACACCATGGCGTATGAGTAACTTTAACTTCTAGTAGAGAATATTGATATAGAGATAGTTGATGTAACTGCGCTGAAATGGGTTGAAATAGAAATATAAAAATATGATTGTTTAATTATGGAAAATATATATGAATATGTAAACAGTATATTTTTCTTAGAATCCACAGTCCTTTAAAATACTCCGTTTGATAGCAATATTGTTATTGAAATAAAAAAAAAAATTAAAAAAGAATATTTCGACAAAGTCTCCAAAGACAAATCAAGATAAAAAAATATTAAAAGATATATTAAAGATAAACCAAACAGGAATTGAAAGAAAAATAACAAAGAAATTAAATATCGATAAAAGTACACAATGATTACACTAGTATCGATAATCGAAATATATCATTATGAAGAGTGTTGGCAACTCTACGCTACAGACAACAAACGAACAGCTGATTACAGCATTTTAGTTGGTTTTGCATTTTACTTCATTAATACTGTTGTTTTTATTCTACAACTAAAAAATATTATTATAAATATTATAAATAAAACATAACTTCTAACATGCTACGGAAAAAGAGTACAAAAACAAAAACTGTGTCGGATAAAATATCTGAATTGCTAGCACGAAACGTCAACGGTGAAGATGGTAGCAGCGATGAGCAAAATGAAGACCCACGTGTGGAGGAGGAATTCGATGAATATGATTTGCCGGATGCACGCTCATCAGATATAAGAAAACGTAATATAAAGCTGTTGTCAGAGCAAAGCGCGCGTTATAGAGGGAAAATATCATCCCGAAATGAACTTGAGGAAGAGGATGAAGAAGATCCTTCCGCGGATGAACAAAATGACGAAGAACAACAAAAAGAAGATGATGATGAGAATTCCTCCGATGATGATAACAATGACGCTTTAGCAGCGTTCACCAAAAAGTTGAATGGTGGTGTTAGTAAAAAGGTTACAGCTGTGTCAGCAGAGGATGACAGTGAAGATATGAATCAGAGCACTGATTTTGATAATGCAAGTGAAGAAAGCGATGATGATGAGGATGGAGATGAAGATGTCGAAGAAGGCGGTGAAGTAGAGGATTACGAAGATAGCGATGATGAGGATGGGGTAGAGAGCGATGATGATGATAGTGAAGAGGAGAATGCAAACGGTACCGATATAATCGCTGAAACCAATCGGCAAGCTGAAGTGCAAAAAGGACAGTGTGTACAAAATCAGCTACAAATTTGGGAACGTTTATTGGAAATGCGTATACACACGCAAAAAATACTGAGCAAATCCAATCAGCTTCCTGCACCTGTTACACTCAAAGCACAGCAGCTAGATAATGAAAAATTAAATAACATATCACGTGAATCGGTTAATAGCGTTAGTAAATTACTTAGCACTTTGCTGCAACTACAAAATGCTTTTGATCAGCAATTTTCTGAACAACGCAATGCTTTAAAGAAAACGTTAAAACGCGCGCTACCCAAACATGACACTGAAGCGAACAGCGCTGTGCCGATTAAACGTTTTGCTGAGCACATTGATGTACATTTCCAAGAATTTAAACCTTATCGCAATACGGTGCTACTCAAATGGGACGATCGCACTAAATTGCTAACGCCTGGCGCTGGTGCTAAGAAAAAATCCCTTACGGAAGATTATGACATCATACGTAAAATAGAAAATACGTTACAAAATCGCAGCACACTCATTGAAAAATCACAAACTTCTAAAGATGGTGATGAAGTTGCTACAGAAAATGAACTGGTTGAAAATGGTGTTGTGCAAAGCACGCAAAAGTCGAAACGTAATGTGGAACTTTATGATGATAGCGACTTTTATCATCAGCAACTGCGTGAGCTTATCGAATATAAGAGCAATACATCGGTTAGTGCAAGTGAAGTGACGCAACAGTACATGGAGCTGCAGAAGTTGCGTCAAAAAATGAAGAAAAAGGTCGACACACGCGCCAGCAAGGGACGTAAATTGCGGTGAGTGTAATAAGCACAATAAATTTGCATGCAAATAAATTTCACAAAAATATTTACTCTTTCACATTACAGTTATACGGTGCATAACAAACTGATCAATTTCATGGCGCCTGACGACACATCAACATGGACGGAGGAATCGAAAGAGGAATTATATAGATCATTATTTGCAGCTTAGATTTCTATTAGATGGAAAAGTGTAACTTGTAAATAAAATGAACTGTGCCTGTGTAAAAAATTAATTTACACGTGTTCTCCTGTTGTAGTTGTTCTACTCTTTTTTAGCGTTTCTTACCAAATTGCATTAAGCGTAAAAGATACATATTGTATGCAGATTTCTTTTTAGTTTTCTATTATTTATTTAATAAACATAGTCGTTGTGTCAAGTGTGCGCACAACTTGTAAGTTTTCTGCGTTATTAATACATGTATTAATTATCCTCATTATTCAAGTGGCTTAGTAGTTTTGCAATGCCAAATTGTTATTTTTATTTAAATTACTATGCTGTCTCAATCTCGGCTTTCGCTTTTTCACCAAAACTATTTTTTTATTTCTTCTGTATTTTTATTATGTTATAGTAGTTGCATCAGACATTATTTTTTTATGATTCTTGTAAAAATTATTGTATGCTATTATTTTAGTAATGTAGGTAGGTATGTATATTGTATGTGTCCACAATAGGTGTAGAAAAAATATAGTAATAATGTAATAAATGCCATACTGTTTCTTATATCGGAAGAACTTACTAGAAATTGAGCACCAAATATTTATGACAACATAACAAGAAATACTTTCATCCACAGCAGCTCTTTAAGGGGTTATATCCACTTGTGAATTGGAAAAAATCGTTTTGTTTTGCATATTAATCGCATCTAAATATATTTTAAAATATTTTCCGAAATTTTTCGTGCGAAACAACTAAATTTACCACACTTCTAAATATATTTTTCACTAAACTGTTTTTGTAACTGTTGTGTACACACCAAATTGTTTCAAGTAGTAGCAAAAAAAGTAATATAGGAATATCCATATTTTCGCTGTGTTACGGAAATAGAAACAAAAGCAGGTTAGGCTTGAAATCCCTGATTTCAAAATCCCCAAAACACGCCTTTTTGCCTTGGCGGCTCCAACACAGGAGTGTCCTATATTTTTTCGCTTAGAACTCCTTTCTGAGTTTAAGTATTTTTTTTATATTGTGGTTTGAAGTTGTAGGGGTTTCGAGCCTCTCTATCTAAAAAAAAAACTATAACGGTACATATCCTGTGCAAACTTACTCAATTACGCCCATTTCCTTTACTTAATTGCTGTATTGCTAAGACTCCCAACTTTTAGATAAAAAGCACATTAGTATTTAGGTATCATTGTATGTATGTATTGTATATTGGTTTTATTCAATTTAATATAGGTATTTTATATTTAAATGGTATGTACGATTTGCGCATGTGTTTGTCATTATTATTTCATTAATTATTATAATTTTTTTATGCTTGTGTGTCTATGTTCTATGCATGTATGTATGTATGTATGTATGTTTTGTATATAATTGGTTAATTAATTATGTTTACTGTTATTGCTACAAGAGATTCAACGCAATTCGTGGTTAGTGTGATGAATGCACTTCCTGTTTGCTTAATTTTATTATTCGAAGTTAGAAGTCTATCGTTACGTGTAACCGTAAAAATCTTAGCCACACCTACATGGCCAATACAGTTGCACATTGGTATTTATTGGTTAAAATATAGCTATGTATTTATGTATATAAGTTATCTTTTTCTGTTTTCAGTTTTAGTTCGGCTTTTCATGCATTCCACTTGGTTTTCGTTTCTAATTTCATTTTTAATTTTTTTACTATGCTAATTTTTCACTTTATCTGCAATTATTTAGTAATAATACAAAAAAGTACAGCAAATACAAATACTTAATATTTTGTTTTCGTATTTAGCAAACATTATCAATGTCAAAGTTAACCACAATATCATAGTTAGCATCAACGTCATTACAATTTCGAGTTTCATACATATTGTTATGGCGAAAAGTCATTTAATTATCATAGGTATACAAGTAAATTACGAATAAATTAAAACTTAACAAATACAGTTACAATAGTTACACGCATATACAATACAAATATTTTTTTAGATTTAATATTTTTTAAATTTAATATTTTTTAGTATATTTTGTTTATGTTATGCTTTAATTCGATTTTGCTTTACTAACCTTCCAATACACTGTGTTTTCTACAATGTTTATTTATTATTTAATCTTTTTTTGTTGTTGTAATTTTTCACTAGTTTTGTTTTTGCATATGCGTTTGTATACATGCATAATGAGTGTTATTCAACAAATACAATATAAATATGTTGTAAAAAAAACATAAAAATTATTACTGGTACTCATAGTATTCGATATATGGTATAAACAATACTTGGTAAATTTTACACATACATTAGCTATGCGTTTAAGTTGTAAAAAGGAAATGTCAAAATTTTAATTTTTGAAAATACACGTGTTGCTTTTTCTCACTTGCCGACACTTCACATATTTGTTAGCCAATTTTTTATGTTGCGTTATTTCAAACAATTTTTGTCATTTTAAGCAAATTATATTATTATTACACTTAACTGCACAGCTTTTGTCTAGCAATACTTTTTTCAATGAATTAGCAATAATATATATATAAAATAAGTTTAGTAGCTGTATATAAATATAATAGCTGCGATGCCTTTTGCACATTAAAAAAGTTAATATGTTTACTAAAATATCAACGGATCATAAATATATGATTTTTGCAAGTCTCACTTACAAGTTTGCACTCGCACTTGCACTAATGAAATAATGAATTTGTAATTATGCTATATCATTTGCGCGTTTGGTTATATGCTCACATACCACTTGGTTTTTGTTTCGATAGACACAAAGTTATTAAATACTTAAGAAACATTGCACAAAAAAATAAAAACAAGAAATAAAAACCAAAAAAAAAAAACACATAGACATAAATATGCAAATATATATATATATATATATATATATATATATATGTGTTGCTGTTGATGATGATGATGATGTATATGTGTTGTATGGTTATAAATTCTTAAATATTGGGCACAGGTTAACGGTCGTTGATTTATGTACGTAATTTCAGCATCTTTACGTCACCATTTCACATGACAATTCTTCAAACATTCGTGATTTACAATTTGTAAATTGTTTAATCCGCACATTTTTTCATTCTTGTTAATTGTTAATGGAGTTTTTTAAAAGCAACGGTAAACCAGTTTTAGTTTTTGATTTTGAAACAAGTATTGTTGCAGTCTTGCCAGCGCCACTACTTGTCATTTGTGTGGCTACTTTATTGGGCGACACAACAGCCGCAGCAGCAGCAGCAGCGGCAGCGGCAGAAACAGTAGCTGTTGCTGCCACCCCGGCGCCGCTTGTGTTTGCAGTCACTGTACTTGTAGTGATAGTAAATGTTGCTGTGCAACCAGTTGCAAAGTGCTGTATATTAGTAGCCGTTGCTAGCTGTGTACTTCTGCTGGTGGCCACTTGCGTTTGACGTTGATGTAACTCTTGCAGTAGTACTGAGTGTTTATTCATGGCGCGCAACACTTGTGGTCTAATTATTTTCTCACTATTTCCTGGTTGTTGCAAATGCTGGTGTAGCTGCTGCTGTTGTTGTTGTTGTTGTTGTTGTTGTTGCTGACTCATATGACTGGTAGTGTAAAATTTTTGTGTATCATCACATGTTTCGTTGAGAGATTGTAATTGTGAGTGAATTGATGTAATATTAGAGAGTGTGCTTTCGGTGTCACCAACTAAGCCACCGCTGCTGCCACCCGTACCCGAAGCACCGTATTTTCTAATCGTTATCGTTTGTTGTTGTAATTGTTGTTCTACACCTGAAACCTAAATACAAACAAAATTATATATTTAAGAAATTTTCACTTCTTTCTTATTTAATAATACTGTTATATTAACTTTCTACTTTACCTTCTTAAAATAGGCCACATCTTTATCTCAAGTGCTTTTAGCTGGATGTATAATATTTTCCATGTCTTTTTGTACACTAAAGAGTTCCGTTAAGTGTTTGGAGAATAGTGCACTCAATTCGCTTAACTTTCCCATTTGCTACGTGTAAAAAAAAAATTAATAAACATATTTTAATTTTTCTGTAACGCATACTGTTTTCAAGACTTACATTGTGATCAAGACTTTTATCGCGTATGCTCATATTTGCCGCCTGCAATTCAATTTCTTGGCTCATTAGTTCATTCTCGAGTGATTCGATGCGTCCTTTTAATAAACCGATTTCTCGTCGTAAATCTTCGGCAATTTCTCCACCACCAGCAGCACCACCAACAACACTACCACCACCGCCTACACGAATCACGTCCAAATCACGTTTTAATCGTATATTTTCTTCCTTGTATGTGTGCAATTGACGCTTCCACTCGTCCACATTTGCTGTTGATTCCTGCGGTGAAGTGTGTAACATTTCAAAACATATAAAATCGGTGAGAAATAAATACACAATACCTGCAATGCACTCGTTAGGCGTATATTGTTATTTTTCAATGTGGCCAGTTCAATTTCCCATTTCTTTGCATTGGCGCAACTGAAATCGTATATTTTTAACAAAAGTATTATTACCTTATTTACATTTAATTCATAATTATTAATTAATTTTTCATACCTTTGTGCTAGTGCCATTTTAAGTCGTTCATTCTCGTATTTCAATTGCTGCTCCCCAGTAGCACCAGCACTACCACCTGTGTGTACGCCTACAATACTGCCGCTTGAGGAGACTGTTACCGCCGTTGGAGCAGGTGATGGAGAGGCACCTGCAGTCAACTCTTGTTTAACATCCGCTGCTGGCAATAGTTTATGCGATGGACTATCCGGGTTAGCGTTTTGTGTATTCGTATTGGACATATTTGGTGGTTCCACGGTATGTGGATCTATGGCGGTGTTATCATTTTGCTGCATACGCGATGATATTGGGGATGTATTAGCCGAGGTGGTAGGCGTAACTACAGTTGAACCTGTAATCATAGAAATTAATAAAGTTTCTTGCCATTATTTGTATGCACTTACCATTCGCAGCCTTTATAGCATTCTTTGTTGCTTCCTTTACTTCTTGGAACTTTTCCACAAACTAAAATGTATTTTGTATAAAAAAAATCAACATATACTTCGCATTAATATATCAAAAGCCATACCTTTGTTAATTCGGCTTCAGAAGCGAATCCTAAACCGTAAACCGTATTAGCACGCACATCGCTCCATTGCCCAAATTTTTGTGATGTTTGTGTAAATGTCATATTGGGTGTTATTGTGGAATTAATTACGGCTTTAGTACCTTCCACACTGATAATGCGGTAAAGGTTGCGGGACGAATCGTAAAAGAAACTCACATTGACCGCTTTCATACTTGCCGTAATCCATGTGCGCTTCGTTTTCGGGTCAATGTGGAAGACATGAGCCTGGCAGGTGAAAATCGGTTGCTCGCTGATAACAAAGTAGCAATAATTTATTAATGTTAATTATTGTATCAAAAAGTACATGTATAACCTTACTATAAAATAAAAACTAGAAACTACTCTCAACTCTTTTTAATATTCCATTATTATTATATTAGCTAGTACACATAGTTATTATACCATTGTTATAATTGCAATGCATGCGCATAATTTCAAACAGCTTAATTGACTTTAACTGCTTTAGCTAAGCTCAAGCACAAAATCCCCAAGCGACTTCCGCCCCCAAAGTAACATTTTCATAGGTTGTAAAGCAAGAGCAGCATAAAGCTTGACACAAAAATGTTGATTTGTCTAAGAATAATTTCGAATCGGAACTACGCTTTCTGAATAGTAATTTAAATATTTTCTATATATTCACATTCAATTGAGGTCTGGGCTACACAATATTGGCCAACCACGGGCGGGGACACTTGCAAATGCAGCTAACACATTCATTATAGCACATATCAATAATATTACACAACACCTCTATACTTTTATATAAAATATTATAAGTTGCGTTAAATATTTCCTAATATTTACCCCATTTTCTTTGTTTGGTCGTGAAAACTCCGGCTTTTTCAGCTTTTTGCAAAAAATTTTTCGGTTTCGATTTTTCCAATTACTATGGTGTTGGTGTCAAACAATTACTGTGTTGCCAGATTAGTTATTGAATACTGTTATAACAATTTTCAATGCCAAAACAGTACATGAGTTGGATTTTATAACAGAGAGTTTTAACACAAGTACCCAGCAAGTCACGACTACGAGGCTTGAATACATTGAAAGAATTAGCGCGGAAATTTACCTATTCATACCGTATAATCCGTAAGGCCTTTTCGTAAGAAAGGGAAAAAAGATCACATGCACACCAGAGTGTATATAAGAATTGTTAATTGGGCCTTAAGAAACTCATAGAAACTTTAACTTAAATCTCGGGTCGCATTGCAGGATAGTTACCCGATAGCTGGCTTGCAGGCTATCTACTCGAAGTTGTATGGAGCAACCAAATATAATATTTTACGAAATGCATATAATTAGAAATATAATGTTCCTAAGATTTTTAAAAAAAATTTTATAGAATATTTAGTGTAATAGAGATGAATCAGTTAAAATAGAACTGATACTACAAGTAAAAAAGTCGCATAATCAATAAATATAATTTATTGTTTCTCTCTTTTTCTCAGCGTTCATTGCCTACTGTTAGTCATACAAGTTTACATTTAAAAATATATGAAAATAGTTTATAATTTTGAAAATACATCTGTGAAAATGTCATCGATAACATTTTCCAATAGATAGTTGGAGCTGACATTGATTAACACCTTCTAATTGGAATGCTAGAGTTATCAATTGCGTGCCGTAAACAGTGTTGCGGAGAAACTTAAAACATGTAAACAAAACTCTGTTCCACTCTATATTACTTGTAATCAGTACAAAATTAATAAGCAAGAATTCTTATAACAAAACTACAACTAAAAAGATTATTATACTAGTAATCTAATTCTTCTTTTCATAGAAATTTTAACTCAAAATTTTCATTTGACAACATAACTACATTTCAGTGCAACACTGCCCTTCAACAATTCTGAAACACTGATATGTACTGTGTGTACCCATTTGTCAATTTTTCGCAACGGCACAGGAGAGATAGCGACAGTGGTTCTTATACAATTTTTAAGTTATTTCTAACAATAATCCTTACAAGAAAGTAATTGGAAAATTGTGAAAAACGTGCAAACGCTGCTTGGTATAAGCGCAAAAGGTTCCATGCAGCGAGGGAAACGTACAGATTGGGCAAGTTGAAGCATAAGCGGTAGCAACCATAACTACCTACACATATGACTTCAGGCCGCTGTGATATGAATTTTAGGGCTTGGACGGTATTGCTATTAACATCAATTAAGACGCCTGCAAACTATTTTAGTTAATACTATTTAATTTTATTGTAAATGAATTGGTGAGAATATCAATAACTACAAGTTTCAACGAAAAATCAGAACAGGCTTTACAACGCCCATGTATGTAGGCGATTAAGGGATGCTCATGCTTGTTATCTGTGACAGTAGAACTTCCAATAGGGAATGTCGGTAGGGTAATGGTGTTGATTATTGTATCGATGGATGGCAGGAGCCGAGATTTTTTCTTGTGTGTTAAATATGTGAAAAATGTGTTGGTTCGCGGCGACATCGAAATATCAAGACATCCAAATGTGAAAAGTGAAATGGGCGTAGTGCCAACCATAATGTTTGACCAATGTATGCTAATTGGAGAGAGTGTATGCAATGGAAACTTGCTACATCAAGATATGCTGCAAGTAAAAATAAACAGCAGTCGTTATAAAAAAGAAAAAAAATATTTTTTATATTTATATAAATATGCACTAGTTTAGTTAGGAAATTACTCATGCACTAATCTTTAAAATGTCAGAATTGCTGGTCACTTATCATGACATCAACATACTACAAAATTTGTTAGTGTTAGTTTATGTTGTTATACGGTAAAGCTATTTATCATAGTTTACTGACCTCGATAAAAGTAGATTTAAATTCTTTAAAAAAGTATCTAATAAAATTCGTTTAAATTTTATATTATTTACAGCTTTCGTGCGTGTGAGTGAGAAATTAAAATGTGGAATATGATGTGCGACGTAATGCCAACAATTTCGGAGGACAGTATCTCCCAGAGATCCTCACAATTCAGTGGCGAAGATGCCAATTTTGAGCAACTTATGGTGTCCATGTTGGATGAACGCGACAAGCTTATGGACAGCTTGCGGGAAGCTCAAGAGCGACTCGGTGAAACGGAAGTTAAATTACATGATGTGGAAAAGGAGCGCGATAGTTTACAGCGGCAGATAAATGCCAACTTACCTCAAGTAAAATTACAAATTTCGCCAGTTTTAAATCAAAATTTTAATGTTTAAAATTAATTTTAGGAATTCGCCACTTTAACTAAAGAGCTAACGCAGGCGCGAGAAACGTTATTGGAGCGTGATGAGGAAATTGGCGAACTTAAAGCTGAACGCAACAATACTCGGGTATATATTACTCATTATTGAATGCATTTGTTATTTATTTCACGCTTGTATACATTTTTTATGTTTTTTATTTTTGAAACCAGTTACTTTTGGAGCATTTGGAATGCTTAGTTGCACGCCATGAACGTTCCTTGCGAATGACGGTTGTAAAACGACAGGCTGCTGCGCAAAGTGGTGTTTCCAGTGAGGTGGAAGTGTTAAAAGCATTAAAGAGTCTATTCGAACATCATAAAGCTTTAGATGAAAAAGTACGTGAACGTCTGCGCTTATCAATCGAGAAGAATAATTCACTCGAGGAGGAATTAAATGCAACCAAAGAAGAGGTATGTGACTTTTTAAGCACAATATACATATATATAAATATTATTGTTTATGTTTTTGTTTAGCTTCAGCAATATAAAACCGGTGCATTACAAGCCAATCGTGAAGCTAGCAACGAAAATGGTGTGAATGAAAAGGTAATTTTTCTTACTTAATTTTTGAACAATTCTTTAACATTTATATATATTTGTTCATGTTTAATTAGGTCGGCAGTGGCCTTAACGGTGAATCAAATGAGGCGAACGATTATGCTGCGAAAACGCATGAGCTGCAAACCATAATCGAGAAACAAGTAAAACCTTTGATTGAACACAAAATGTTTTGATTATAATATTTTTCATATTCCATAGACTGCAGAGTTATCGCAATGGCAGCGGCGTGTATCAGATTTGAACAGTAAAATTTCCGAAATTGAGGAGAATTTAAGTAGAACACAGAAGGAGTTGTGCAAGTCGCAAGAACAATGTTCTAAATTACAAAGAGATTTGAGAGAAAATGTTGCACAAAAGGAGGATCAGGTTAGTGAAATTTTTTTACTGCCTTTATATAAAAACTTTTGTGTTTGATCTATTAAATATTTGAATTGTTTTATACGCCTGCAGGAGGAACGTATCGCCACATTGGAGAAACGTTATTTAAATGCTCAACGTGAATCGACATCTTTGCATGACTTGAACGAGAAACTAGAACAAGAATTGCGTCATAAAGAAGCACAAATTAAGGTAAGACCATTCAAACTAGCGACTACTTTAATCAATATCAAAAAAAAAAAAAATCAATGTAATTACAGTTACACGAAGAGAAGATTTGCGCCATCGAAGAAAAGTTGGAATTATCTGAACAAAAGTTGGCGCAGCAGGCCAAATTACAGCCTGATATGGAAGAACAGCTTAAAGCACGCATGGAAGCTTTGACAAAGGTAGGAAATAAGGTATGCGCGATTGAATTTCTTACAAATGTGATGTGATGTGTAGTACGTATGTAGCGGCGTTTGTATGTTTGTGAGACGCTTGATTTTATTTTGTTTGGTATGTAGTTTGCCACCTTTTTGAATTTTTGTCCCAACTTTTCGTTGTGTCTTTTAGCTGCACTCCCTAAAGCTTGTCAATTACAATTAATTCGCGTTTCCACATATTTTTTTCTCACCCGATTTACAGGCACAAGAACGCCATGGTTCAGCAGAAGATCGCATACAGCGTCTAGAGGCAAATTTGGAAGAGAAAAATGCAGAGGTTTTAAGACTGAACCAACGGTTGAAAATGAACGAGGAGCACAATTTAAGGTTGTCGTCCACTGTGGACAAATTGCTTTCCGAATCAAATGAGCGTTTGCAAGTACATTTGAAGGAGCGCATGCATGCGCTTGACGAGAAGAACACGCTCTCACAGGAATTGGAGAAGGCGCGTAAAATGGCTGAGGAATTACACCATCAGAAGGGTGAAATCATGAAGGAATTGTCTAAAACGCGTCTGGAAATTGAAAATTTCAAACGACAATTGCTGCAGCAAGAGATCGCCTACAATATACAACAAACGGAGGCGCTTACGCGCAGTCTATCGCCCAGCAGCGCTGTAGATGGTGGTGCCTTTTCGCGCAGCACTTCGCACGCCAGTTTCGATACGCATTCGTTGCGTCGCAGCAAGTCACGCATGCAGGAGGAGGCAAATATTGCCCGCTCTATGGCCGAGCAAGAGTGGGAGAATTTACAACAAGCGCATGCTCAGCAAGCGTACGAAATGTCTGCAGCTGTGGCCGCAGCAGCCGCTGCCGAATGTGAGGATAGTGAAGCTGCCGCGGCGGCAGCCATGTATGCTGCCTCGGATATAATGTCACCCTCAGGACATGCGGATGCACAAACGTTGGCTATGATGTTGCAAGAGCAACTGGATGCTATCAACAATGAGATTCGTTTAATACAAGAGGAGAAGCAGTCAACTGAAGCGCGTGCCGAAGAGTTGGAATCGCGTGTGGGCAGTTTAGAGCATGTCAACTTGTTGGCGCGCGGTCGCTCGATGGACCGGCAAAGCCCACCGATGAGTGGGCGCAGCACACCAAACAGCCCCAACAGAGATTTCCTACAAAAGTATCACACGGTAAGCGGTAATATATTCGAAAATTTTCAAAAAAGTAAAAATTTCATTTCTCAACAGTTAAATTTACCCGTTTTGTCGAGTGATATGTCGCGCGATGACATTCACGGCATGTCTACGACAGGCGATTCAAGTTCGGGTGGCGCTGCATCGCCGCTCACCGCCAGATCTATGCGGCTTGAACGTGTTGCCCAGGCCTTGGCCCATAGCCAAGAGGAGTTGCGGCGGCGTTCGGTTGGCATCTCACCAAATCAAGGTGTCGACCATACCAGGTAAACCCAGACGCTTTATATACATATATGTATGTATGATTTTCATATAATTTGTTTCTAATTGTCGTTGTACATTACAGCCATGTCGCTTTACCGCAACTTAGTAACTATGGTCTTTCGCCATTGAGTTCGCGCTATGGCAGTCAGGAATCGCTTAGTCGTCACTACAATACAATGGGCTCAATGACAATGCTGCAAACCCCCACCACTAGCGTAGGCCGTGATGTCGCTTCGGCGGTGCAAAAGAAAAAGGGCATCAAATCGAGCTTAGGCCGATTCTTCAGCAAGAAAGACAAAGTGAAAGGCGTTAAAGATACGCTGCCCGATGGTTCGACCAGCATGATGTCGATTGGCAATTTGTCAATCGGTCTGAGTGAGGGTGAGTCGAACTATGATGTTATGAGCGTAACTGGTGGTATGGTGCCGCGTATGAGCAGCATGCCCGGATCGAAAATATCCTCGGTTGATTATGGGCGCCAGAAAAAGTAAATATATGCGATATTATTTGCTGTGCATAACGGTTTGATTAATTCTTTGCTTTCTTGCAGGGATCATGACTACAGAAATGATTTGCTCGGTGAGGCGATGAAAGCCGGTACACCGTTTGCGTTATGGAATGGGCCGACAATTGTAGCTTGGTTGGAGCTGTGGGTTGGCATGCCCGCATGGTATGTGGCAGCATGCAGAGCAAACGTGAAGTCGGGTGCCATTATGAGCGCGTTGAGTGATACGGAGATTCAACGCGAGATTGGTGAGTCGGCGTTTTACATTTTTTTTTTGTTTATATATTAATTATTTTATTTTTTTAATTTTACAGGCATAAGCAATCCGCTGCATAGACTTAAATTACGCCTTGCCATACAGGAAATGGTTTCATTGACTTCGCCATCAGCGCCTCAAACGTCACGTACAACGTTGGCTTTTGGTTAGTAAATTTTTCTTTAAGTTTATTAATTGTATACCCCAAACAGGGTACATTAAGTTTATCACGAAGTTTGTCATACCCAGAGGGCAGCGTCGGAGACCCTATAAAATATATATATAAATGACGAGCTGAGTCCATTTAGCCATGTGCGTCTCTACGTCTGTCTGTATATAGCGAACTAGTCCCTCAGTTTTTGAGATATCGATCTGAAATTTTGCAGACATTCTTTTCTTCCCAATCAGCTGCTCATTTGTCGGAAACGCCGACATCGGACCGCTATAGCATATAGCTGTCATACAAAGTGACCGATCAAAATGAAATTCTTGTATGGAAAACTTTTTTATCCGACAAGATATCTTCACGAAATTTAACATAGATTATTGTTCAAGGCAACGCTACAATCTCCGAACATATTTTTCAGATCGTACCACTATAGCCTATAGCTGTCAAAAAAACAGTTCGAACAAAATCAAGATAAAGCTTTTTTGTACCATTTTACACTATAAGCCGAAGTTAACGTCTTTTTTTCTTCTTTAACATTAATGTAATATTCACATTTTTTGCTTTCCTAATTAGGTGATATGAATCACGAGTGGATCGGCAACTATTGGCTGCTTGGTCTGGGCCTCCCGCAATATCGCACTACATTTATGGAGTGCCTAG